AATTACGCCTACCAGATTTACAATTTGGTCTTGTTTTCGTCCGTTTTAAATGAGTATAGAGAAAAATTCATGTTCTTCACGTTCCTCTTCAGATAGATCGTTAGTGATGGATAATCTAGTTCCTCTAATTTTTCTTACGTTCCGAAACATTCCTTGTTTTTTAATATTCCGTACCAGCTTGAGTATTACTGGTCTAGAAGATGCGCTTCCCGATTTCAACCCTATTCGGTAGATATCATCAATGTCGTTGTCCAGTAAATCGATTTACAAATTTGTAATCAGTATATTTTTTATATAGTCTTTCTATAATTTCATTATTTTTTCATGTTTTCTTTCCGAAAATTTTTAATTTTTCTTTTATACTTTCGTTTTCAGCTTCTGGTGTTCCTATTTTATGTTTCAAGTTTTCAATTATTTTTTTTCGAGTCTGATTTTTTTGTATTTCCTTCTTGCTTTTCTGATGTACACAAGCATCTCTTTGATTTCCTTCAGTTCTTCTGTTGTGTCTTAAGAAGTATCACAAAACTCCCGTTTTTTCGTGAAAAAAAACTCACTAGTGCCCTTTCGGCAACGATTGACGCAAAATTATGCTTTTTTACGTTAATTCTGTTCAATTGTCGTGTCATGTTCAAGGGGCAATAAGGGGATATTTTTATGTCCTTTCGGTAAAATACAACAGGATTCCTTCCAATAACCAACAGCAACGTTGTGAATTAACATTTCTCTATACAGGAAAAAGTATTCATTTGGTTTTATTGATGAAGATCTTTATTAGCTATCTGCTTCATTTCTCTCACTACAAATTATTTTTTTAACAGATTTGTGTTGAAGTCATTATTTAACTTTGTGTTTCTTGATTTGATTAATGACATTATTTTTGTTATTTCACTGACCGTTCAGCAAATGTTTAATTTTTTCAGAGTTTATTTATCTCACAAGAGCAATGAATTCAATCTAGTGGCTGATAACTGATATAAAACGGACATCATAACGAAAACAAAACATGATGATAATATGTATGTAATATAATCAAGAGCCTGGCAGGTCAACTTGTATTTGTTGTTCGGTTCATGTCAGTAACAAACAATATTTTTGAATAGAAAGGTTTTGTTTCTAAGAATGAGAAAAACATGATCTAACCAAAATCGAAGAAACTCTCAGTGTTTCGCAAGAGTTACAAAATTATTATGAATTTGTTTCCACATGTATTCTCAGGCAGAAGTGACGTCCTATATTAAATCGAAGCATACAACAAGAAATTGGCAAACAACATGTTTTTGTTTAAATTGAAACGGATATATTATTTAGGACAGTTTCGTTTTTGGGAAAAAAGCTTTTTGGCTTTCTACTTTTCTAACTATAAGCGAAAATTGTGGGAAAACTTCTGAAGGAAGGAAGAAATCAATTAAATTCATATTTACAAATATGTGTAGATAATACATGTTATATCAGATAACTTACTTTTATACACAGACTGGAAGCCCTCTCAGAATAACTACTTTTACATGAACATTGAGTAATACGAAAATAATTTTTTTCCTATTCGTCTTCTACTTGAAACTTTCGTTATGGAATTGAAACAGATGTCATTCATAGAAAATCTACAAAATATAATATATGAAAAAGTTTCTTCAAAAGTCTCAGTGGAAACTCATTCAATTCAATCGAAATAAGCTCTATTTGAATAGCGTAAAAATTTAGTGCTCAGGATTGGATGAAGTTGATGAAGGTCATTTTTGCCTGATTGGCAAAGGTTCTATTAGTGAGAAAGTTATCGAGTTGCTTGAAAATATGGTAGTCGGTTGCTGAGAGGTCTGGGGAGTATGGTGGAGAATTCAGAATTTCGACGTTCAATTCATCCCAGGTGACGATCCGGTCCAAAAAATGATCGTTTTCTTTGCGCAAAAGCAAAGAAGAACAGACCTCCAAATATGACTATTTCCGTTGATTTTTCAAATCGTGGGGCATCCACTTTCCGAGCCTTCTGACTTTTTCAATGCGTTTTGAACTATCAAAAACCGCATGGGGGCTGACTCCCAATTCTTTCGCCATCTCACGTATCATTTGTGATGGGTCAGTCTCCACCAGGATCTTCAAAACTCGTCCTGGATAACTGTAGGTTAAGATTTTCATTATCTAATATGATATAATATGATTTGAAATCTCTGAAAGAACAAATTAAAATGAAAATTGAAATGAATAGCTGAAAATAACAATTATATTATGCAGAAAAACCGTGAAAAAAATTACAATATAATAAAAATTTAGCAAAAAATTGAAAATTGAACAATTAAAATGAAATAAAAATTGAAAGGTTTCAAGCCAAATTACTTCACGACGTTTCGATTGTTAGTATCCACAATCATCTTCGGGGTCATCACCTAAAGACGTTTGTAGATACTAACAATCGAAACGTCGTTAAGTAACTTGGATTGAAATTTTGTCATTTCAATTGTTCGATTTTAAGTTTCTGCCCAATTTTTATTTTATTGCAATTTCTTTTCAGATTTTTTTTGCTCAATATTAGACGATGGAAGTCCGAACTAATGAAATTCACTATGAAACATTGCCAACCACCTTCAAACAGACATCATATAGTAATAGGCTGAAAAGAGTCGAAAAATGAAATTTGGAAAAACATTTCTATCGATTGGTTTGTACCATGACACAGTAGATTGTATATTCATTCAAATTTGGAGCTACAAAAATGAATGACATTAAAACGAATTAATTAGAAGAACAATTTGTTCAGGCCAGTCCCGACTTACCTAATGGACTGATATCTGGAAAAAACTATTACCCTGGCTAATATCACGAAGGGCGTTGGATTATATCCAACAAATGTCAGTGCAGGAATCTTCACAGAAGTATTTCCTGCATATACTGTTGGCTATACACTGGAATAGTTTTTTCTGATAGGTGTCAGTTCACTGACACCTATCAGTGTAGTCAAGATTGGCCTGAACAAATTGTTCCTTCAGTTAATTTGATTTACAGCCAGTTTTCAACTTGATATGATATTACATTTCGATAACATGAAACACCATTCTCAAAAACTTATCTCTCCTAAAAATATACCCGTCATAGTGACATGAGTAGATTTATTATTTTCTTCCTGTTTATATCTGAAAGTAACTCCTATTCATGATCTACATATCGTTTTAATGAGTTTATTTGAACTTTATTGCTTTCTTTTTTCCTTCGGAAGTCTGCCAAATTTTTTGTATAAAGATGGAGGAGTAGAAAGCCAGAAAGCTTTTCCCAACAATTTTTTTGTGGTGCGATTAATACGTTATCGATTTGCACTAGAATTTAAAAAATTGATGGAAATTTAAACATATGCAGGACGTTAACTTCAATTATGATCATCATACGTCACATCTGAAGTAAATAAAGATTGAAACTTATTATATTGATTTTATTTTATTGAATTCAAGCCAGGCGATTTACCCAAAAAAAAGTGATACCCAACATAATTAACAGAAGGATTTATCATCTAGAGTTCGGTATATGAAGTCATTACAAATAAGGCTTTGAAGGTTTTTCATTCAAAACACTGGGAAAATTGTTAAAACATGGAAAATATGTTTGGAGACAACGAAAAACAATTTTTCATGGTTGTTTTGTCTCCTAAGGCCACACACACCTCAGTCAGATATAAGCAAGTCAAAATTCATAGAGAAATTTTCAAATTTTTTTTCATTTCACGAATATTGCGTTGGGCTGATATTTTGCATGAATAGTTACAATTTACGTTCTATACGCATCCCCGGGCTTGCTTATATTAGTAAAATTTCATCGTTGAGACCCAAATGTTGTGATTTTTTAAAAGGAACATTAACATTTTATTTTTTCAGTCCCAAATTGTCGCTCAAAAAAGTATTATTTTTTCGGATCGTGTTTTTTTGCGAATAATTTTAGAATAATCAAGATATCGATTTGCTATCAGCTATTTTGTAGCTGGCAGAATGACACACGTTAAAAAAAGAGATGAGATATTATTCTCAAATATGAAAAATAAACTAGAAATTTTCGTGAAAACTAGTTAAATACTTGAACTTTATGATGCCATGAGAAATTTTGCAAAGAAAGAGATTTTTAATGGTAAATGGCGTTAAATTATTTAGAGCGCTTCTACTGAAAAAAATTACTTCAAAATAGGGACCTCGAAAAAATCTTCCATATCTGTCAATTTAGAACCGATATTGATCTCACACATTGTTCATGTTAGAAAATTGATAATTGTGATGGTAACAAATGAGGTTATAATATCACTTCCAAAACTGAAGGAAAAAAGATTCACTACCTTCTCAATTTTCTGAATTTTTTTCTGGAACTCTGTAGAGAAGTTTACTGTTCACTCGATATGAAAGACTAAGGTGCAGATTGAGAAGGAAGTAAAATTACTAGTGAAATTTTGATTTTGACTACTAATTTGAACATAATAAAACTTTTATTACAAACACAATTTTCAAAATTTCTTTTTCATACTTTGCATGCAGCTTCCTGTGTATATAGATAAATCGGTATTCCGAATGGTTCAACAAATTATTTTTTTTTAAATGAGGATCAGCTTCTGAGAAATTATTAATAAGCTGATCCATTCATCTGTAAGGCTCATATCTGCTTGCCATTACAAAATGTTTTTATATTCTGCTGTTCTGGTTTTACCGATGCCGATGGTAAGATAATAATCAAACTATAGCTACGGTTGGCTAATGTTAACGACATACTCATTAACGATTTTAATCATGTGAGAATCTTTAATGAATTATTTTGTTACAGTTATGATAGATTTTTATTCAGCATTGGCTAATTCAATTCCAAAACCATGCATTTCATTTCGAAGTGTTAACAAAACTTAATTGGAATATAATATTGTAGAGTATTGTCATTCATTCAGATTCAATTCTGAACAAGTATTCGAAACTTCATTGTTCGTGAACTTATCAAAACACGCATTCTTTTAAATATAGGAGATAATTACAGCAAATAAAACGTATTCTTGACAATCAATTTTATTAAATATCCATATATTAAGTCATTCCTATTTATATTACAATCTAAGTACACATATCATCCAGAAAATGATATTTGGAAATTTTAATAGTATAATAATTGATCTGTAAATATTACTTCAATACTTAAAGTACAATATATCCCTCGAGAGCCTTTCCTAATTTTTGTAAACAGGTTCTTAGATGAATCATCGACTCGATTGAGTCAAAAATACTATTCATTTCATGATATGGCTTGTGAAGTGTATCACCATTGATCGCATGAATATGTTGCAATGAAGAATGTCTCAGTAAAATCTCGGTGATGTTTGCAGAAATTACGATTCGTACAGTTTCTAAGTTAAGTCCCTATATTGACATACAAAATAAATAATTAAATAAATAATACAAAAATCACATATGTACAAAGGATCCCCTCCGGTTATCTGCATCTTTGTGAACGAACCCTGAAACAGAAAGGATGGAATTATTTGTCTGATATATTACGGAACTTTTTGTTGAACAGTGAAATAGCAAAAAGTGGATATTAGTTTTTATTGTATGGTCTTAGGAAATAACTAAAAGAGACAAATAAAATATACAACATTACAACAAATAACGTGATTACTGATGATCAAAAAAGTTCATATGAGTTATGTTCGTGAAACGTTTCAGATATTTATTATCATCATTATATTCATTAATTTATTCCTTCATTAATAGGTCCAAAAGTCCATTTACTGTGTTCATAATTATTATTCTGACTTAGGTTGTGTAAGGTCAAAAGTGAGTGGGTCAATTCGACTCTCCACCGTAATCTGCACAGGTTTATTGTGTCTTACACCTATTCGAAGCCGATTAGTTTATATGGTGAGTGATGTTTTAGGTCAGATGGTAAGAGTGCGGCTCTGCCAAACTCCGAAAACTGGATTCGGTCCGCAGCAGGGCAGGCACAAAGTATATGCTCTGCTGTTTCATCATTTTCCAAAAAGAAGTGACACACACTGTCTTCCGACAATCCGAGTCTCTTCATAAGATGATTCAGCCGAGAGTGACCTGTAAGGAGACCTGTTAGACATCGTAGTTCATCCCTACTGTAGTCCAACAACTGTTGGCTTCAAGCTTCGAAGGGTAAATGAACGCTTTGGAGTGAACCAATCCTGGAAAATTTTGCTAGAAGTCCATAAATCTTCTTGCTATCCAGGTATGCAAAGCGTAAAGCGATACGAATAACAGGTTTTGGTCTGATGAAGCTGCTTGCAGTACCCTCGTTTGCAAGGGACATTAATACTGTATGTATATAGAATCTCAACTTCATTTGATATCCTCTCTGGAGTAGTCTGGTATTTTATATAAGTTGTGTTTATCTACCTAATTGTTGCATTTGGTTAAATTGCTATTTGGTGGGAAGCTTTTCTCGTTTTTTTATGACGAAGTACTACAAATGATGCCTCTCTACGTAACTTTTTTCGTACCTGGATACCTGAGCCCGTTTTTAAGTTCAGCCTATATCCACCTGAAGTAGGTTCAGATGCTTTGATACAGTGAATTTTTTTTTTATTTAGAAAAAACCGCATCAGCCGTAGCTATTAGCGGCAAACATATAAGATATATCTGAAATATCCATTGGTTACATTACAGTTTAAATAAAAGGTTACATTCTTTAAGAAATTCAACAATATTGTTGGTATTGGTATTTTGGAAAATTTCACTTAGTTTGGAGGGAATTTTATTGTTCAGTCTCTCAACTGTGAACAGTGGGCACTCTACCAGAACATGCTTAACAGTCACAAGTACTTCACACGCGAAACATTTTGGTGGCGGTTCTTTCCTCAATAGATGTTCATGCGTAAGGCGAGTGTGGCCCAGTCGTAATCTGGTAATTATGACTTGATGGAAGCGGTTTGTTGCTTTGTTGTTTCAAGGATATAATGTTGAGTTAGGAAGGTTTTTGAGACCAGTGGTGATTCCACATTTCTACAATTCTACAATGGAAATAGGATTTGAGATCCATCGGCAATGCTTTCGTACTGAGATTACATGCTGGATATTCTACAGCTTCTCTGGCAAGTTTATCGGCTATAACGTTTCCAGAAATCCCAGTATGTGAAGGAACCCATAGGAGGGTTACTTTCGTATTATCTAGTTGATTCATCTTCTCTTTAATCATATTTACCAGTACGTGATGGGTATATATTTTCGACAAAAAAATAAGTGAAGTGAAACAGTGAAGTCTTCGATATTGTTTCCCGAAATCTACTCTCAGTATTGCAAAATTTTATATGCTTTGGCTAATACGAATAGACAAAAGTGTTTTTATTCATTTCATTCAAGTGACTTAATTTCGAAGTTTTATTTACACAGGACGCTTACTTTTTCGAAAAATTGAGGTATCCAAGTATTCCACCCAATCAGTGATTGTGGAATTATTCCGAAATTGAAGTTTTCAATGAATCTGTAACTTTGTATGGTCAATAGCATAATATGTGCCTTTCAAGTTAGTATTACTCGAAGGTCAACAACTCTCAAAAGGCCAAGAAACATATTTCATTTTTGAAATTATCCGTCACAGCTCGATCGATCTCGAACCTGTGGGACCTATTCAGAGTTTCTCAGCCCCCTTCTCTATAAAAGCCTGGGAGGCAAACATAACCTGTCAATCTTCAACAGACAAGTAAAATTTGTTTTTTCAAGGAAAAAACACAAGCAATACAGGAAAATCCTTAAGGCGCTTTAAGAGCGGTGCCTGCACGGAAGTAGCGATTCACGTTGGATTTGCAGAATATGCAGAGAGCATATTAAATTCATTTGAAAAATCGTTCTCAGGAAGTTCATTCTACATGAACGCAATTCTTCAAATGAAAGAGTTTTCAAACACTGAAGTTCGAAGTGTACTGAGTTTTACCTCAAAACGATAAGAAGTCACATTCCGTCGCGTATTTCGGATATGTACCGTTCTTGGTGGGATCAAATGTGCTAAGTCACTTGAACACCTTCTGCGAAAATATATATAAAAGACTGACGAATCTCCATCTCCAATCTTTCTTTGATGTTCCAGACTACCAAGGTTGCAAGTGAAGTTTGTGTTTCCAATCAAGCGGACGGCTTTTTCTGAATGGAATCCCCAGCTTCAGGATATGCGTAGGGGTGGAGCTCCCTACATGAGAACAATACTCCAAAGCAGGTCTGATCTAAGCTTTATGAATCATCAAATGTTGCTGGGTGTGTAGAGCTTTCTGGTTTGGAACAGTGTTCTAAGCTTTTGAGAAGCGGTCTTTCCAATTCCAACGACATGATTGTACCAAGACATATTGATGTCTATTTTAACCCATAACAAACCTATCGAAGCAGAATACAGAATTGTCTGTCCTGACCTCATTATATCTGGTTCGGAGACATTAACTTTTTTCTAGAAAACCGATCTCTGGGTTTTCATGGCATTGAATTGAACCTGGTTACTCTCGCTCCAATTTGAAATCAACTCTAAATACCCATAAAGGTATACAACCTCCTGCTGCCTGTGAAGATGTACAACCACAGTCGATGTTCTGGAATCCAAATGGAATGACAAGACAAGTGTGCTGTCGTCAGGGAAGCAATATATTGGATTCATGGTTTTTTTGAAAAAGTCGTTGATATACAATAAAAAGAAGATTGGAGACAATATGGATCTTTGAGGAACACCAGTGTTGATGTTGAGAGTATTTGAGAGATATCCATCAAAGGCCACTTGCAGGGACCGTTCTTACGGGAAGCTGGAGAGCCATGCACAAAAATGATACGACCAGCTATGTCATCAAAGTATGACCAGCAAACCCCCATGCACACGGTCGAAGGCCTTAGAAATATCAATCGCAACAGCTCTTGACTCCACATGTTTCTAGTACGTTTCCTTTGATTTAAAGACATGAAATGATTTTTTTTTCAAATGCAGATATATCACGATATTAAAAAGGGTAGTTTTACTAACACTCCCTAAGCATTCAGTTATTTCTTTGAGAGATTCAAAATCATTATCTTACAGTTTCCAGTCGTATTGAAAGTAAAAACATGTGAGATTTTCTTCTAGTACGTTTCCTAGTAGTGCTAGTGCTAGTGCTTTGAGTACTTACTGTTTCTATAATGAAATAAATTAGTGCTTTCAGTAATGAAATAAAAATTCTAATACTTTAGCATAATAGAATTCACGACGTGTTTCATATCCGAAAAACAAATAAAATATTACTATTATTATTGACAAATACAATAAATCTATAAAGTGTATATGTTGAGAAATCCTATCTACATCGACCCTGGCATATTTTGTTAACGAATTTATATCATTTGGTGCTGATATTCAACCAATAAATCCAATAATTATTATCTAATCTGGTTCACTTCATTGTTTTGGAATAATATATTTATCACACTTATTCAAATCCAATGAAAATACTGATGATTCACGTTGAGATTTCCCAGAAAGTGCTAGTTCAGTTGTTTGTTTATCGTGGTGGAAAATTTCCGTTTTTGTTATGAACCATACAACAGCACATAAATTAAAATGATGATCCGGGTGCTTATTCTAATGGATTCATTTCTTACATGGTTGAGTAGAAGAGCAAAACCTTGTTTTTAGAACTCTGCATTGACGTTTTTTGATGTATTCATTTAGTTTCATTTATTTTTGCTACACCTATCAATGCAATAAAAACAATTTTATTGAGATATCATTTGGATTTCGAAATTAGGTTTCATCATTTCATAAAATAATTCTTACTTCTTGTTGATCGTTCAATAGAAAATTTGATCATTAACGTTTAATAATGTCTAGGGATTCCAGTAGGTTCAGTATTCGTCCTTTATTTGCTGTATGTAGTACGTCGTGATTTATGTTGAAGTTGTGGTTGTTTTCCAACTTCTTTTGTGTTCCGAGATTCTGGTTTTGAAATTCCTAGATGTTCGTCCAATTTAAACTTTTGAGTACGAGCCACATTTTAGCTTTTAGAGCTTTTATAGCTTGTTCAACGGCTTATTTGAATATTTTTTGTCGGAGATGAAGTTGTTGTTTACTGTCATCTTTCTTTTGTCTATTAAATTTTGTTGTCTGTTGAAATTATCTATTGCCATAAAGATAATAATGAGTCTGCGGATCATGCTGTAGGAAGCTGCTAGTTTATGTTGACAAGGGTAATGAGAATAGTTGTTGATAGTTGTGTCTGTATGGGTTGATTTGTGATTATTCGCGAAGTCATGTATGTTATAATTTATTTTATCGTCAGGTCCTAAAAGTTTATCAATTTATTGGTTTCAAGCTATATTGTAAATATTATATTTTGTTGCATATGTGTACAATGACTGATCATTTTGAGAGTTGGGTGTGGTTGGAGAGTCTTTTCAAAGTTGCCCATGAAAATTTCAGCTGGTAGGGAGTTTGGAGAATAACCCATTGTAATGTTATACATGGTGATATTGAATTCACAATAATTTT